CTAATTAAGTTAATTATCGTTAGATTAAAAATTAATCCTAGGGTCAGAATTAAATAGAGGCCAGTTTAGTCAATATATTTTTAAACCCTAATATAAATACACCTTTTAACTCCCACATCTCACTTGGCCGCCCACGTCTGTTACTTCTCCCATCTGAAACTGTCTCTTCCCCTGCCTCTTCCATATCCGCCGTGACACCATTGCCCGTGCCGGACTCGCCATCGCCCGTGTTGGACTCGCCATCGCCCACACCGCCATCCCCCGTGCTGGACTCGCCATCGCCTGCGCCGCCATCGCCCGTAGCCGGACTCGCCCATGATTACCATATCTGCCCCACCAATGCCTCGACAACACCGTCGTCACGCCGTCCTATCTCTTTCAACCGTCGAAGTTGGCGGATCTCTACAACGCCGCCGTGATGCCGCCGCATCAATCTCTTCTACTCCAATATCTCTCTACGTTGGCGGATGTCCAGATCTCCCAATCAAATCTAGTCATAAAGAGAGTTGTTACGGTAGTAATTTTCCATATCTGTAATGATGTTTTTAGATTTGTGGTAATTATTCTGAATAATAATGAGTTATATTAGTAGCGATTTTACCGATCTTATATGGTGTTGTAGTGGTTCTTGGGTAACTACTATCAGATAAATTCCTATACACTGCTATCTTTAAGAAGTGACTCATCATAATATCCAACAACCACTGCTACTTAAAAATCCGCAAAAAACACTATTAGTCAAATTAAAATAGCTACGGTAAACCTATAAAAACACTACTATAGCCACCAAAACAACTACTACTATAAGTCACCAAAATCGCTACTAAGATAAATGGTTGTGGTTGTATATTTTTTGTAGTAGTAATTTTTCCTTGTAAAAATGCTTCATTAAAAAGACGGAATAAATATTTTAAAATGTAATTTATTTATTAAATTTAATTTGTCAAAATACCAAATATACCTCTCATTACTTTTTACCATCAGATTTAATTAAATATAATAAATAATTATTAGAATGGTTAGTACGGTGCTAACCCTTTATGGAGTTAGCACTGTAGCTTGTCCCACCCACCTATTATCCAACCTAGGTAAAGTTCCCATAGGGAATATTCTTCAATAGTACTCTGTAGACTGTACTGATGTGACAACAGTCAGTCCGCCTATTTGGAAAACTTGACCTCCAAGGAAATTCCATATGGTTTGCCTTGAATCTTGATGCATCCTACCCTACCAAAATACACCACACGAACAGTATAAGCTCCCACCCACTTGCTTAATATATAGTATATACATCTTGTGTGCCTGGAATTAATTATATATACAAAGTTTATTCTTTAGAGGGGAATGAATTTGGTCAGTAACTTTATGGTGAGTAACCATGAGTAACCCATCTACATAAGCATGACATCAACATCCTCTCTCTCCTGGAAAGTCTTTAATTTTCCCCTCTTTAATCTTTGACGGACGATTTCTCACTCATTTTAAGTCGAAATTTAATTTTTTTTGCACAGTTAGATCAGATTAATTGCGCTCTTCGAAATGATATCCACTTTAATATATTTTTCGAACAAAAAAAATTGAGCCATTTTTTACCAGTCTATACCATATGGTATTGACTGGTATTGAAATAAAAGCCTATCTATGGTTTGACAAAATGTACCATGGTGGTATGAACAAACCAAGACTGTAGGATGGTTGAATACATGATAGTAGAAGTATATTAATTGTCATTTACGACTTTTAACATTGTATACCACACAATACCACCCCGTACCAGGGTGGTATTGTATGGTATTGTGTGATATTTTTTGGTCCTGTAATTTGTTCACCCAGAAATTTGTAGATCCAATAGATCATGATGAACTCGTCCCTTCTGTGCGAACGTTTTCAAAAATGAATTAAAAACGAAGAAGATACCATACAATACCACCCCGTACCAGGGTGGTATTGTATGGTATTGTGTGGTATTTTTTGGTCCTGTAATTTTTTCACCCAGAAATTTGTAGATCCAATAGATCATGATGAACTCGTCCCTTCTGTGCAAACTTTTTCAAAAACGAATTAAAAACAAAGAAGATACCATATGGTATGCAGTTGGTACCGAGAGGCTTGAAAATTGATCTCATTTTGTAGAGCACGATGAACTCGTTCCATCTGTTCAAAAAAAAAATTAAAATCCGAGTTAAAACGAAAAAGATATGAGTTTTTTTTTTTACAAAATCACTTAATAACATGAATACCACTCGTATATTCATAAAAACAAACTGTCATATATATACGGCGCTCTCTAACTTCACGTCTGTGGTCTAAATATAATCTCTTTGTTGCTAGCTACACCCAAGTCCCAACTATCTATCTATCTATCTGCTTTGTCGACACACATACGTATACATATGTAACTTGTGACCCAAGTCTTTTTTATCAAAAAGATTTAAAAAAAAAAAAAAAAGTTGGGGCTAATTCATTGCTTTTTTCACTTTGGAAAAGGAATCTTCGAAATTTATGTGGCGGCTACCAAAAGATGATTTTATGTGTTGATTTGGACCTGGCGCCTTATAAACACCTTTCCTTCCTTCACCCACATCCATCCAACTAGCCATGGCAGCAGCTGGGTAAGGTTGTATTTATATATGAAAGATGATGGATGAATATATGAAGCTTCCCGACACTTTCCCTTCACTACTGATTTAATTATTTGTTTGAATTAATGTTTGGATAATATTTATTTATAGGGGTAATCTTGAATGTTTGTGTAAGTGCTGACGTCGAATTCCCTTTCTAAAATGTTATTTATTTGTATTACTAAATAAATTTTGACGATTCATGAAAGATCGGAAGTGGTGCAAGTGGAATCATATGTACCCTATAATAATAATAATTATAATAACATATTCCTAGCTAGGGTTTTGGATAAACTAATAGCCACAAAACTGGTTCAACAGTTGGTTGTTTGACTATACGGTTAGTCGCACGTAGATATTACTATAAGCAATGATTTGGACGAATACTAGCCAAGTTCCTTGAGTTGTTAATTAACTATAATTGTAATTAAGGTGTAGCTCAACTAGAAACTATAGAAGAAGAGATTCGGGTGTATTGTGTTCACACTACCCATGCCTTAGCTAGCAAGGCACAATATGCACCTCCACATAACATAATCTTCTTATTGATCTTCACAATGTATAAAATATGAGGGGGAAAGCTGGTTAGACCCATATCGAGTTCGTTACTGTTTGAGACTTAAACTTAAAAGGTCGTAGGATAACTCGAGAGGTATAGAGACGCCGTCTATCTTTACTTACGAAATTGTCTTATCACAATGTACTAATAAAATATAGACGCATGGTTGATCCGGACTTTGAATTGCTATAACCTAGGGGCCATGGTCCCTCGGCCAGTGAGTTGGCTTCGCCCCGACCAACTCTAATTGGTGAGTCGTGAATTATTAATCTCGTTGTTTAACAACACCGATTCGTGTTAGATCTATTACTATATTCATCATTACCAACATCATGTCAATATTTTGACCTAGCTAATTCTTGCATACAAAAAAGAAAAACATATGACAAAAATTCAACCACCCATACAACATACCCCTAAAATAACTGTGGAGATAATTGATAGCCAACTCATTGGTTTGAAATTTGTAAATGTTCATCATACTTTATGTTTAAATCAACTGTTACTATTAGTGGTTGTGAAGATTCGAACACATAATCACTTGGCGAAACCAATTCTATTACCGTATCAAAAATCACTCCGTCCCAACCAACTTCGGGTTTGAAGTTTGCAAAGTTCACCATACATTGTGTTTAATACTTTAAATCAACTTATAATATTAGGCATCATAGATATTTGAACACACCACCACCTAATCAAACCAACTATGATATCATGTCAAAAACCTTTTGTTTCAATAACACATTGTTGAAAGAGAGTTAATTAATCATGAATTTTATACCACTCATTTACCATTTCACGAGGAGAGATCAAGAGGATGTGTTTGGAGGCCCTTCAGCATAGAGCATTCGAATATTAGGGGTATCCACCTCCACATAATTACTTATTTGATTATATATTATAGATTGTACCTGAGGTGTATGATTAATCGATTATGAGCACCTTAATTACGCCTACATTTGGCAACTACGGCATATACCGTCGACCAAGAAAACTACTTATCTGGTCCATGTCCATTCCGGCATTCCCAGCTGCAACTAAAACATGCATGAAAAAAAAAAACGAAGACCAGCTGCTGACGTCATATACAACAATGACGTCATAATTCCATATCCCCAAATCCCACACTTGGAAAAGATAATCAAATGAAATTCCAACTCACCACAGTGGAATTAAAAAAAATGCTTGGAAAAGAAACAAACACAGGACTGAATACACTGAATGAACCCGATAAAGACACGAGATATATTTAGAGAGAGAGAAGGCGAGGCCTACGTGGACACATCTGATTGGCAGTCGACCAGACCAGCGCGCTTTTGACTACGACCAACCGAAAATCAGTCAACGATTATCAAGAGCCAACTTACTGGGTTTGGGCCGACTTGCAACTCACGGTCCCCAGGCCCAATCGTATGTGACGCAAGCGCTGACGAAAAAAATGGCCCTACATCCGCCCCAATTTAATTTCTCATTGGTCCACGTGTTGGCACCTGGAGCCATCATGGTTTCCACTGAGTCATCCCCGCCGCGAAAAAGCGCTTAATGCGCTATGAGCTGCCGCAGCCAGCAATACAGCAGGAAGTAACTACCAAAGGAAGTCAACAAAAAAAAAAAAAAATTTGACAACTCATTCAACAGAAATTATTTTTGTCAAATTATAATTAACCAAATACCTTAAATTCTGAAATTTATTAAGATTTTTCAATGACACACTAAAGGAAAATCTGAATCACTAAAAGTCGTTTCAGACGATTTTAAATATCTGATTATCGAACTCACTCTATATAAATATCGCATCAAAATACAAAGTCCAATATTAATACACAAACAAAATTGTATTGAACTAAACTTCTGAGTAGTAACTTAACCTCCAATATTTCGATAGCTTACATGATTGTATTGTCCGTAATACGTTACGAAATTCGATATTTTAGTTGTGCAAGTTTAATTGGCAATGACTCAATTAATGTTTTGACCTACTTGGCCGAATTCCGGCCCAACCGATACCATAAAACCAAACCCGCACGTGACTCCTTGAAAGAACCCTATCGCCGTCACCATTTTCCCACCACTCTGTTTATATAAATCCCTCATTTCCACACATTTTCCAGTATTCCACCAGAAAAATCCCATCTATAATCTGTCAACTCAGAGCAGCCCACCAACAGAAGAATCTCACCGGAGAAAAAGAAAGGAAACCCCGCCGGAAATTCGAAATCAAATGAAGTCAACGGTGGAACAGCAGCTCAATTTACCCGCCGGATTCCGATTCCACCCCACCGACGACGAGCTCGTCACCCATTACCTCTGCAAGAAATGCGCCGGACAGGGAATCAACGTCCCCATCATCGCCGAGCTCGATCTCTACAAGTTTGACCCATGGGAGCTTCCCGGTAAGTGATTTACCTCTAAAAAAATTGAGACCCAGAAAGAAAATCGACGAGATTCCGATTTTGAGATTGACCTATGTTTTTAATTTTTTTTGGCAGAGATGGCGCTGTACGGCGAGAAGGAGTGGTATTTCTTCTCTCCGAGAGATCGGAAGTACCCAAATGGGTCGCGGCCAAACCGGGCGGCGGGAACTGGGTACTGGAAGGCGACCGGAGCGGATAAACCGATCGGGAAGCCGAAGACTCTGGGGATCAAGAAGGCTCTGGTTTTCTACGCCGGGAAAGCTCCGAGAGGGGTCAAGACGAATTGGATCATGCACGAGTACCGCCTCGCTAATGTGGACCGCTCCGCCGGCAAGAAATCTGGACTCAGGGTAAGCAATCGGATGCCGGGATATTATTTCTTCCCGATTCAATACAACCTTATCTAAATCGAATTGGATTGAATTGAATTGAATTTTTTGTAACAATAATTATTAAATTTCTGATTTTTGGATTTGACAGCTGGACGATTGGGTGCTATGCCGACTCTACAACAAGAAAGGAACCATGGAGAAGCATTTCCCGGACGAGGGAACGAAATCGCCGGCAGTGAAGCTCCAGCCGTCGTCGCCTGTGCCGGAGGACGACGAGGAGATGATGTGGACGGTGGAGGAAATGAAGCCCAATTTGCTAGATTTGCAGCTGCAACAACAGTTCTGGGAGATGGAGACGCCGGAGGAGTCGACGTCCGTGCCGCCACAGCTGCATACGGACTCGAGCAGCTCCGGCGAGCAGCACGCGGTGTGGTCGCCGCCGGAGAACAAGGAGGTGGAGAGCCGCAGCGGCGGGGGAGGAGGGGCGAGATGTGGTGGCGAACCGAACCGGAATTCAGGTTCGAACAACCAAGGGAACGGGTTCGACTTTGGGTTCGAGTTTCGAGATTTCGGGTTTGGGTTCGACGGGGTTGAATTCGCCGGTGCCGGAGGAGGGGATTCATCGGGAGGGTTCCAGTTGGATCAGCAGCAGTTGCAGGAGATGTTCATGTACATCCCTGAGCCGTTGTTTTGATGGAAGTTGTTGACATTTAGTAGGGAGAAAGACTAGAGTGAAATGAAATGGAGGGTTTATGGGTTAATTTTTATAGTTGTGGTTTTGTGGATAACATTTGGTTTTGTTAGGGCTTTTGGGGTTTAGGGGAATCTTCTTTGTTAGGGTAATGCAATGTAACCATTGAGGGGATTCTTATAAGATGTCAAACATATGAATTCATTCCAATTTTTCATTCCTCAAAAGTGAAATGGATTTGGGTACATAGTTCATGACTTAAGACTCTTTTACGTCCAAAATTAGGCCTAAGTTGTAGAACACTATCCTTAACTCCAAATTCAAAGTTCACAAGTGTATGTTATAGTATGTTATAGTTTCGGGATCATGATTCATGAACATGCAGTTATTTAGATTTAAGGCGGATAACTTATACCGCTTAAAATTCGATTAAAAATATATTGAATTTTAGAAAGCACAAATATGGTTGTTCTATAGAACTCTAGAAGCACGTTTGAATGCATTATTTGGTAATTTGAGTAAACCATGATTATTCACATTCCATGCTAGCATATAAAGGAAAACAATCATGAAGATTTCCAAAAATGTATAAACATGATAGTGTATGAAATCCCAAAAACACAATGAAAGTACATGGTATTAGTAAGTTGTCTAAATCATAATCATTCATATTCCAAAAATGATAATTTGATAGCATGAAATACATTGCGTTCACATGCCAATTACGAGTAACAATTTGGTCCACACCGGATCAAATAAAAATCATAAGTTTTGTAAAAAAAAAAAACTTAAGTCACCTTACTCTCTCTACTAAACCATGCCCCCAAGAACAAGAGTTAACAATTGGACTAGATGAAACTTGAAAGCACCAATCATCAAACCCAGAATTCCAACCTCAGACGCTAAAATAACTATTAAAATGAAAAATTACACGCATTAGTCCACCACTCATCTCATACCTGAATTTTCTACCAATGGGTTTCCTCCAAAACCCCACACCAACGAGTTTCAATAACCACTAACTATATGTATTTACAGAGGGCACCTTACTAATTAATCTCCAACTGTCCCTGAAAACGGAAAAGCCGCCAAAATAACTGGAACAGGATTGCGTATTATCTAACATCATCATCCTTCTGCCCCTGCCACCGCCGGATTCTCGCCTGTTCCGATCAGTGTCCCGACGCTTTCCCCTTTGATTGCCTTGCTGATGTTGCCCGGTTTCGAAAGATTGAACACCACAACTGCAATCAAGACGAAGATTAGGAAAGGAAAAGCACAATCTTCTGTCGTCACTCAAACACTAAGTCCACGGATCACAGATAAACTTGAACAGTGGTGCCAGTAATTTAGGACAGAAAATGGAAGTTGACAAGTTTTCTTGGTGATACAGAAGTTCAACATACCGGGAATGTTATTCTCTTGGCACAAAGTGATGGCCGTCATGTCCATGACCGATAGATCTTTCGACATCACCTCCTGGTAAGTCAGGGTTTCGTGAAGGCGGGCGTTGGGGTTACGCTTGGGATCATCATCAAATACTCCGTCAACATTTGTAGCTTTCAGTACGACCTCTGCATTTACTGGATGGAAAGTTCAGCATCAATGTCAGCACAATTTTCCTGATGTCCAGATATAGCTATTATATTGTCCATGGATTCATATAGTAATGAGAACAAGAAAGGAAAACATCGGTTAGCATATTTGTAATGTGCGTTAAAAACTGAAAATCATATGATAACAGATAATCTAAACAAGCATAGCTTACTTTCAGCACAGCGCAATGCAGCGGCAGTGTCGGTTGTAAAGAACGGATTTCCAGTTCCAGCTGCAAAAATAACGACCCTTCCTTTCTCAAGATGGCGCACTGCTCTGCGGCGTATATATGGTTCAGCAACCTCTGACATACGAAATGCAGTCTGTACCCTTGTTGGGATGCCGATACTCTCCATAGTTGCTTGAAGAAATATAGCATTCATGACAGTTGCCATCATTCTAACAAATAAATAATGTTATAAGACTAGTAAACAACAATATTCAAAAGTCATGGAATTTCACAAGAGGTCATGTTTTGTTTATCCTATGAATACTCAATTCGATTAAAAGAAGTCACCTTTCAGCAAGTGTAATATACATCTTAAGTGCCTATAGGACTTCAGCCCAGCATCATTGTTCACCTTCTATATGAGATAAACATATCTTATAGTAGAAAACTAAGTCTATGTAATCCAGTGTTGTCTATCAACAGAAAAGGATCTGGAGGTGTATGTAGTAGATACCAAAAGGGTATTAGCAAAACACATACCCAATATAATCCGCAGAAGAACGATCAAGGCCACTGCATCCAGCCCAAGTAGATCCACGAAAAATATTCCCCCCACCAACGACAATGGCAACCTGCAAAGCTTACAGATGATTTCCAGAGTTAAGAGTATACATAGCCCAATGAAAAGAAGAAACCCCCTGGTTAGAAGGTATAATGTCCAGCACTATAAGACTCACGGTTCATTCTACCATATCTTCGATTTGTTTATCGGTGAATACTATAATTAGCGATTTCCGGTCTTCACGTAATTAACTCCACACTCATACATATATAAGTCATTGAAGCCTGTATGAATTGCACCCGAAGAAAATGAGTCTGAATCTAACCTCAATGCCAAGGCGTGTTACAGCTGCAACCTCCCTTGCAATGGCCATCGTAACCTACGTGAAGCCATGATAAATCAGCAACCATAAGCAAAACTACGCTACCAAACACAATCAATCAGAAGTCATCGTGGATAAATGACCAACCTTGGGATCGATGTTCTGCTCATTATCTCCTGCAAGTGCTTCCCCGCTCACTTTAAGCAACACCCTCCGCCACTTGCAAGGTCTGGACGTGCCATTTTCATTCATGGGCGATGAAAGCGTCGGTGACAAATGAGGTTGCCTGCTAAAAATCGAAGCACACCAACAGAAAAAAATATTAAATCGAATCCGGGAAATCTTACCCAACCGAAACCCAATTCTCCCGTTCAAGCATTTTCACGAACACCTACAAGGCAAAAAATCAAAACCCCGCACAGCAGGGGCAGAGTTTAAATACCTCGCGGAAGACGGACCCGTCTCCGAAGAGCAATGCGCCGCCATCCCCCGGATTGAGCTGCGGCGAGGAAGCTTCAGAGGACTCATATATAATAGCGTCGACGACGGTGAAGAGAATGAAGCGGTGAGACTAAGAGCAGAGAGCGGCGACACGGTGAAGGAGGCTGCCATTGGCGAAGGAAGAAGGAGGAGGGAGAATTAAATTCAGAAACGGAGAAGGGGGAAGAAGCCGACAGAGGGAAGAACTTTTTTGGTGTGGATGGATAGTTAGTGCCATTATTTGAATCGGCGAGAAATATCTCTGAATTGCAGTCTGCAGACGGCGCAGAAGAATGCAGGCCGGGTACCCGCCGACCCGGGTCTGTGAAAGAAGATTCTGACCCTACTATAATATGGGCCAGGCCCAGGTTCCCGAAGAAAGAGGTAAAGGGTGGCCCGTGGTAGCCCAACCAATTTTATTACAAATTCTTAGAGTTGGTTTAGATAGATGTATTTCAAATGTAAGTTATTTGTATATGAATTTGAAACGGATGTATTTGAAGTACTAGAATTTGAAATGCATGTAATTCAAATTTGTTGTTTCGATATTCATTTGTGATTTGTTTATATTTTTTATTTTATGATTTTTTATTTTAATTTTGAATTTTCTGGTCACTTACTACAAATTTTTGTAAATTATAGTTTGGTACCCAAATTTATTTTTTCTTACAATTTAGTACCTCAAATTTTAAAAATTTACAAAAAGGTCCAGAAATTTTGATGGCAAAATTATGTTTTGGTACCTTTATATATTTTGCCTCACGCTATAGTACCTAAACTTTTTAATAATTTACAAGTAGGTCCACTCTTTTGTTAGGAGGTATCTCACCACTAGTGGTTGAAATGTATTTGAAGTTGACAAGTAATACACTAGACATGTATTTGGAAATCACCTCATGAATTTGACACAAATCCAAATATCAAATGTAATTAATATCCAAACACATGATTTGATATTTGGAAATCCAAATCACAAATACCAAATTCAAATCATTATATCCAAACACACTCTTAGTCAATTTCAACGTATTCTTCCCCTCGTATATTTTTTATGGTCGAAAATGTAGCGCATTCTTCCTCTCTTGCATGAGCTCCTCGTATAAATTACAAATAGGCTGATAATCGGTTCGGTTTGGTTATAACCGGAACCTTTTAGTCGGTTCTCGGTTAACCGTCAAGCACTTTGTGCTTACCGTTAATCGCACCGTTTACATTAGTCGGTTAATCATAACCGTACAGTCGGTTCTCGATTATTCTGTCGGTGTACAGGATAACCATTAACTAAGTGATTCGACAAGATTATACCAAAATAACCTATCGATAACCTAACCAACAAAATACCTCTTTTTTCAATAGTGAAATTTTCTGTAGTTTTTCATACATAGGCATGCGTTCTTTTCTTAAGTTGTTATCATTGAATAAAACTAATTTAACCTATATATATATCAATACATAATCAACTCAATCCAACACAAGTACACAATAATACCGTTCTACCGTTGAACTTTATTAAAGAAACATACAACGATAAGAGACCCAACAACAATTACTCAACTTGTAACCCCCACAAATTACATGGAAGTAATGTTACTGATTGTTGTCGAGCAATTGTGCCCAAGTTTGAGTTTCTACTATACTCCTTCTAAAACTCTTCCTTTAAATTATATTCTCATTTGAGTCTCAGTCACTATTAAAATTAGGATAGGCAAGGGGTCTTTAATCCTTCAAACACATCAATATTTTCGGCATATGTTTTGCGGCTCATGTAGCTATAGTATTTTCGGCCCTAACTATGAAATGGTCGTAATCGGTTTGTCGGTTATTAACCGTTTAACCATCGGTTAGTTATTAGCTAAATTGACCATCGGGAACCTATCGTTTACCATTCAATCGGTTATCGGTGTAACCGTTAAGCATCGATTCCGGTTCGGTTATCAGTTACACCGTTAATGGGATAACCTTTTATCATCCCTAATTACAACCTAAACGATAATGTGCTAATTAATTGTACAGTGTAGAGTGAAAGACCCTCAAAATTACAACTGCCTCCAAGGGGCTGTTTGGAGGTTGGGATTCTCCAAATTGAAGTATTTAATCAATTTGTGCATTGAAATTTGATGTATTTATTAAATGTATGAATTTAAAAAATACCTTGTTTGGAAGTTTACATTGTGCTTTGTTATAAATGAAGAAGTAGAGGGTAGATAATCCCTTGGTCACAATCTCACATTTTGATCGAGATTGATGATCACTCATTTTGAGTGATTGTGGGTGGGCCCAGGAAAAAAATAATACATGTATTTTGTCACAAATTTAATAATAAAAAAAACTACTTAATATTGACGTTAGATGCATTGTCTAAATACATCGCTTGAAATCTCAACCTCCAAACAAACCCAAGATGCATGGCAATAAAGACGCGAATGAAAGCCTCCGAAGTTTGTATGGGATGGAAAAAGCTGCTGCTATACCTCATCATTTCTATATATATATATATATATATATATATACATGGTGGCTTCTATGGTACCCCGGGTGAAATCCGGGTACCGCATACTTCGAGTATGGAAACTCTATCTTGACCTCGAATTACCAGGATTTTTGTGTCTGATATTATACCCTAACCCTTAATGAGTGAACCCTAGGTCATGATTATCTAAATCATAATCTATAAACCCTAAGATGGTGCATTCCCTTTTGTGCCTATATTTGGATGAATCATAACCGTCGATTATTATTTCTAATTAAATTGATATTGGAGTATAAGATTGGGAGAGTTAACACCTAGATTTTGATCTTTAAGTGTTAAAGTATAGTATCATGTCCGAAAGATCGGTCAATTCAAGGTCTAGATAGTGTTTTCATACTCAAGGTATGCAGTACCCCGAATTTCACCCGGGGTACCGTAGAACTCGCTACGTTTTCGCCTGAGTTTGACTCAACTTGTGAGCTGGCAATGACCTCCGAGTGGCTACTGCAGTGGAATACTGAGCTCAGAAGGGTTATGGATCTGTTGTGCCTTGAGATCGTCTGAGTTCGGATTCAAACAACATCAGTCGTTGGATCCCAACCCTACCTCGACGGCCTCCAACAGCATCAGCCGCTACTCGTCCAATCTTCCTTCTCTGCTGTGAATCTAGGGAGGGTGGAGATTATGGAGAAGACAGATCCAATGACTTCCTCCGCGGCCTCCAAACACATCAAATCTAATTCATGCCTCCTCGACTTTCTCCTGGTCCTCCTGAATGGAATGACTTTTGCTTTAGCTCGGAATACAGATTTCACTGAGATCAGCTGTAATTTTCTTTCAAAGATCGATGAAAGTAACTAGGGATACCATCAAGCAGTCCCAAGCAAAATTCCAATAGACAACCAATCGAAATCAGCTGGAGGAGCTTTCATGTCACATATGGGGTACTTACCAAGATATAAAAATCGATCTACTTGTTACAAGTGATTGTTCCAAACGGCCAGATTCTGAAGCACCCGATCGATCTAGCAACCATACAACCGTTCTCCTCGACACTCTTGGTTTCCCCATTGGCGTGGTGTTGCACTCCCCAAAGAAGAAGACTAACCCATCTTCTGCGCGAGACATGGAAGCCAAAGAACTTGAATAAAACCGAGGAACTAGAACTCCTGCCAAATATAGAAGAAGCTTCAGTAATTAGATTTACAGTTGCAAACTCAGAGGAGAGCAGCCATGGATGGCAGCGGAGAAGGTAAGCAGTGCCGCCTGTAGTGTTACCACATCGTTCAGTTTGTTAGTGCGATCCTTGGAACAGCCAAATATACAGGACCACTGTGCTACAAACAGTCCGTAGTAAAACTTTTTGGATTCCTGCTCTTGTTTGAATTGGGCCTGCCGGAAGTAAGGTTTGGGCCTGGAAAAGTAATAATATTTTACAGTCTTAGCTGGGTTATAGTTTTATCCACTGTGTGCAGAATTCTGGATCTCTCTCTTTCAAGTGAAACTGGTACAGAGATCTGCTACCAGTGGATATTACCTAATCTTAGCTGTAATTCTATTGCAATAATTAATCTCGTCTTAAAGCTCATTTGAAATATCACTATTGAGTGAACACTCTAGGTTTGGGCGCTTTTCAAAATTATAGTCATGATCCTTGCTTGTCAAGAAATCAGCCATTCCTTCAATATCGACTGTGAATTTTTCAGCCATTGTTGAAGTTGTACTTGCCTATGAAGAAGCTCTTCCTGCTGTTTACGACGACTCAATATCATCGGCTTTGCTCTGCAGATTCTGAAAATTGAAAGACAATTGATTTTCTCCAACAGTATCAATCTGCTTTTCAGTCTCCGTAGCCTCATTTCCCACTTCAGTTTCACACACGTTGTTCCTTGTCTCGAAACTCAGTATCAATCTACATCATCAACTGAGTTTCGATCTCTCATCTCGTTGCTTGCTCCTCAATCAACCGAGTTAACGTTATATACTCGTTGATCTTGAAGTGACATGTCATTTCTGGTTACTCAATTCATTATTGGAAAGGAATGTAAGTTCGGGTAATTAATTTTGGTAAAGGATAGGGGGTACCAAACGCATGCTGACAAAACGCCGGTTATATTGCTATTAATACGATTGTGATATGATTTTATTAGGATATTAATTATGATTTCATAACAGGGATGATATGTATGACCGGAGTTTTGTAGTCATAGATTTTGTACCGTAACTCAAAAATCATTAATTTCCATGCCCTCATTACGAGTCTTTAACCAACCAGGCGTTAGAAAATTGGAGTAGAACTTCTATCGAATACAACGCAACAAGATGCAATGCAGATGTAGGATATTTCCTCATATAATGAGACCTTTGAAACCTAACAAATGATCACTACCACATCGTCTAACTTAGACTCGTCCTAGCTAGGCCTTGAGAGAGAACTTCTATAAATATGGGACCGCCCTCCTGTTCCCAACTCATCGTGAAGTGAATATCATCCTCTCCACCAATGGGTGCTGATTTATTATTCGAGGGTGTTCGCGCAAGAAGTCAACAGGTCCTGTTCGACTGTGGACTTCTTCCATGAACATTTTTGAAATGATTAGTTTGGTACTCAAATTATTTTGGCGCAAGGCTTGGTCTAAGTCTTTAGTCCAGTGATATTACAGTTTATTTACATCCTTTTATATAAGGATAATGTTTGTGTTTTATCCAAACTTTATTTTTTATTCAAATTTTTTTCAGATATTTTTATACGATCAAAGCCTATAGAAAATAATTTTTATGGTGCTCTCCAAAAGTCTTAAAATTCATCCCATTAAGCAAAACTATAACATTAAATTTGGCAAACATATTTGAAACAATGCATAAAAAAAAAAAACTATTTCAAGATAAAAGAAAACATACATCATGCCATGTAAACTATATCAAAACTTATTATCAGTATTTGATCATTCTATTAAGAGTACCCGCTCGCAGTTAATTTATCTGTCCAACAAGTAATAATTAATGTTGTAATTGGTATCTTATGATGGGTTCACCAAAATTGAATAATTTTCTTGTCTGGTTTAAATAAAGGTTTACTTCATAAAATGAACATCATGAAATCCATTAATATTTTTATCTTTGGACAGAATATTAACTTGTGGAGATCCCTTGCAAAGCGCGCCACATAAATACAATCATTTTTGTTCTGAATTCCCTGACTAGCTATATAGTTCCCATCACGGCTTCCCGCCCATATCAAGGTCTCCAATGCTCCATGAGGCTAGATATGTCATATTTTTAACTCAAGGGTAAGATTCGTTCTATTTTGCAATTCTAGGTATGGATAAATAATAATGATCTTCGAGGGTAAAAGCTTTGAATACACCATGAAACTATAGATAACAAATATTGGTTATTCTTGTTTTCGTGCTCGTTTGCTCCAAGAGATGTAAATCGTTTACTCATATAATTAAATCGTTGAGTTGTGGGCGAAAAAAATCATGGTGCTCACATGCACATGGATCCGTTGGACCGGGCATGCAAAGATACTCATCTGTAGGATCGAAGGGCGATGGCAATTTATTAACAAAATTTTCACCACTTCATTCGACACAGTCGAGGATCGTCTATGTGCGATCCAACGATGTCAGGCGCCGCCTCTGAGCACCATTACCTTGTTTGGGTTGTGGGAGTTGGTTTATAGGAGGAAACAGCTTTCGCTATACCACATCGGTCAGTTTTTGTCATTAGGAACTTGGAACAGGAATATATAACTACGAGCTAGTTTTGCTGCTTTAAGTTGGCTCATCAAATGTGAGCTAAGCTTACAGTAATAATTTTGTTATTACTGTTGGGTTTGGATTTATTGGCCAGCTCTAGAATCTTGTTTACACTTTGTCTAGACAAGCAAGACTTCTGAGCTAGCAAATAAAACTAAGGCTTAACAGTAATTCAATTTAAAAAAAAATTAAAAATGCTCTCCGTGTAGGAAATGACCTATTTCTTCAGTGTGAAATAATTAGCTTAACGCAATTGTAGTTAGGGGTGTCCATTCGGGTTCGATTTTTTGGGTTTACCCGAAACCGACCCGATTATATACATTTTTTTTTTGGTTTTTTAGGTTTGGGTTTGTTTCGGGTTTCAGGTTCGGTTTTGCTTATCCGGTTTTCAGGTTCCGGCTAAAAACCTCCAATGATAGAACTCAACCCGTATTCTTAAGCGTTCGGGTTTTCGGGTTTCGGTTTTGCTTTAACCGAACCCGAACCCGATAAGGAATTTTCAGGTTTCGGGTAACTGGAACCCGCAAGTCCTTATCGGGTTCGATTTTATTGATTTTCGGTTTCGGATTTTCGAGTTTCGGTTCGAGTAACCGAACCCGACCCGAACTGACACCCCTAATTGTAGTTGTTTTGTAACATGGGCATGACAAAGTTCAGTACTGTTGCTAGTTGCTCGCCGAGCGGCACCAGAGATTCGTTCGCTGTAGAGGATCAGACTGCTGCCGCTGGTTCAATGACACCGCGCCTGCATAAAGTTAGCCACTTTGAGTTCCCAAAATTGCAACAATTGGAAAATTGGTTTACAAATAATTTGGCTACTACTAGACCTTGCTAAAATTATCTTGAAGTCTTCAAAATAGGTGATCCTTCCCAAAGTGTAATCAATTATGTGGTGCAGTAATTTCGCGGGAGGGTTAAACCTGTCTTGATCCACCACAGTATCTTAACGAACTACTAGAATCCGGCAAACCCCAGAGTAGCCATTTTTTAGAGCCGATTCGATTATATGATCTCGTATTCTACTCCATTTCTCTTGGAAGTAAAGTGAATCACAACATAAATGATCGTTGTGGTGTCTATGTACACTCTGGAAGTGAACAGATTTATCAACGTATTCGCGGTTTAATTCCTCCAAAGAGATCGTCCCTGAAGTTTGCTCAACTATATATCCATGAATTAGCCTCTGAAATCCATAATTGAATCCATCTATTCTCAATGTATTCAAATCCATTGCATAAAAAACAAAATGTTTAGACAGAGCAATGTTTTGAATGAACTCTGTGGAAGTGCTCTCTCTTTCTATTCATGAAACAAGACTCACATGACAAGTCATAGTGTTTCTCCAGCAAGTCAACAAATTTGACAACACAACAAGCATGAATGAATCCCATGAAAAAGTGATATCTATCTTGATTTAGTTTATTTTGTCATATGGTAAATGGCAGCATGGACAAACGCGTTGGTCTCAACGAAAGTGACGAGAAGTGAAACCAGAATTCAGTTGCTAATTAAGTTTGACGAGGTAAGAAGAGGCTTTTGTATGCGGATGATCGGTAGTTGCTTTGTCGGATTCTATGAACCCATGAACTTGTGAGTTATTTATCTCATTGTTAAGTTTTCAGTAATTAAGTTATTAATCATTTGAATTGAATTATAAGTATTGTAAACCAATTATTTAATTTATCATTAGTACTTACAACTATTTTTGTTTCAAACGCCTAGACATTACTTAGATAACGCCTAAGTGAGTTAGGCGCTCGATAGAGCCCACTTTCTTGGATCTTGCTATATAATCATTTGCTACAAGTCATCCGCAAACATCAATAACACAGTCCATAGTAGAATTTGATGATGCATAATAGATAAAACACGAGACAAGGAATTTTACGTGGTATTCTCGATCGATTGATTGATCGAGACTAATCCATGATGAGCTCGAAAGAGCTCACGACTGACGTTTTATTGAACGACTACATTGTGACAGCTTGCTTACGACAATCTCGTAGCTAAGCTTATATAGAAATAGAGGTAGGGTTAAAACCCTAATAATAACCAAGCTTCCTTCTTTGACATGATCAAGGAAACAATGGACTTGAAGGACAAGTAATTAATTATTTTTTACTAAATAATTAATATCTTCAACATCCTCTCGTCAACGAGGGAAGAATGTGACGTCATAGCTTTTCAACGCTCGATTTTGAGTGAAAACCTCCACCATGCAATTGTATTGATTCTTCATGGTTCTGCTTCCTCATTGCATGCGGGAATGGGAAAAAAAGGGTAAAACGTGAATGGAAATTTGTTTATGTAAAAAAAAAACTCGGTCGTGTATTGATTCGAACACACAATCACTTGGTCAAAATCCAGTTAATCTTAATTTTTCGAATTGTTGAGACGATGTTATGTTGGATCTTATATCATTCTCTAATAATTGATATATATATATAATCGACCTGCCTCAAAAGTGAAAATCATGTTTTCAAGACACACAACACTCCCCGGCTGTGACGAATGTAATTTTAGATGCTTTGAAAGCTCGTTGTTGTGGTTGGCGGTTTCTGAATCCTAAAAAAGTAGTTATTTCCTCCATTAATATATGGTAGAGTTTTGTGTATTTTTCTCCATTTCAAATTTCCTGCAACGAGAATGAAAGTAGGAATGTCATTTTTGTCTTTACACATTTATTATTTATTTCATATAAAAATAGCAATATCAAGATTTGAACTCAAGTCTCTTCAAACAAAGATAACAATCACAACCAGTTACACTAAACAAATTTAATGCATCCATTTTTATACAAAAAATAGACAAAGTTAATCTCTGAAAATCAGAGGACTTTTTCATCATAATTAGCAAGCTCAGTAAGTCTATCGTATGTATTTTTATCGAGCTTGATACTTCTATTTTCATAGTAGAGTTTCATGTAATTTTCTCAATTTTAAATTCTCGCTCTCTCCTTAAATTTTGCTAAAGGTAAATGGGTAATTGGCCAACATGGAAGAAACTAATTATGTAACTATTGTTGTATCCTTGCATTTTTCAATTTAAATTTGGTGTTTTTTTTTATCTTTGTTCTTTTCTCTTTCTAACTTTCTCCGAAATTTCATCCATCGTGCAATAGTTTGCGCCTTTCACTTCCCAGTACAGGACTGTCATTGAAAATCAATCTTCAGGTATCTCTTGGCACTACGGTTTTATTGTTGGGGATTTTAAGTTGGGCGAGTAGAAGATTTCAACTCCGATATCAATTCATGGCGAATAGAATGGAGTTCATCAATAACTGAAGTTGTAGAAGGAAGATTAGAAATTGAATTTTTGGTTGAATATATGCCTCTTGAGATAGAAATTTGGTTGTACAACAGAGAGTGGTGGCTATTGGATCTTTAGGTTTATGATTTTTGCAACTGTCATAACTTATTTCTATCTTAAAACGAGGAATCATTGATTGATTGTTTGAAATAGGTCGCTTCTTTATTCAACCTACTGGAACTAATAGATAAGGAGTGTCTAATTTTGCGCCTTATTACTTTGATCGAGTCTATTCGTATATTGGAGATAACCCTGATTTTTTCGTTTGCTCTCAAGTTGTGATGGTCCCCTTTTAGCTGAGTTTTTAGTATATAGATGACTTGAATCAACAACTCTCCATTTTTTTTTTATTAGTGACATATTGTTTCTAAAAGGAGAGCATTGAACCCTTTATATAGGATTGTGAGGTTTAAGATTTAGTTTCAAACTATCTATGGGTTGTGTGAGAATTTCAGTGAGCTTTTATACTCTATATTTCTTGACTGTCAAAGAAAACTAACCAATAGCATTTTAACAGGGACTTAATTAACATTATGAAAATGGGGTCAATGATACATTTTTATATTTTATATTCTTAAATGCTTATGATATTTCTCCGAATGTTCAACCTATATATTATTTCTTTATGTATCATCTTCGATCGAATGATTATCAATAAGATTAAACGGGTTAATAGACTTAAAAGTAACATAAAAATACAAATAATCAAATATGAGCATTCCGGCCAAAGGGCCGGGTTATAAGCTAGTTTTATATATACCTCATTGTTCAGTTCTGATTCTTAATCGATGAGTTTTCTCACGCATGGGAGGTCAAAATCCTACATTCATGCGGTTTAAGGGGTGAATGAAAATCAAGTTCAGAAGCTAGCAATGGAAGTTATTGTTGTTAGTTAGTTTCTTAAAGGGAAAAAAAAAGCTCCAAATAAACAGCTACTGCTATACCACATCGCTGAGACTCAAAACTGGGAGATATGTTTGAAGTACATATAGAAAGACCAGGCCCGATTCGTTGTCGCCATATCATTTTTCACACTAGTATCTCCTTCTCTCCACCCACATTGTGGGCTGGGCTTGGTAGATATGTGGGCTGGGCTTGGTAATATCTAGTCTCCTGCTGATCGCATGGTGTAATGGTGCTTTGCGATGGGTAGGGTCTTGGATATAATATTATTTTAACAATTTGACTCCATCATGGAAATCGACCACATGGTCCAATTGGGACATAGTCTATAGTTTTTCCTCTATTAATTCAGTAATAAGAGAAGTAATTCAGAAAACTAGCATGGTATCAGAGCTCCTCTGAGCCGATTTTCGTCTCTCGTTCTCGCTTTCGCATCTCTTTCTTTTCTCTTCGTGTTCTTGATATCGTCCTCCTGTGGCGATTCACGATTCTTCTTCTTCCGGCGACGAAGCCGCAAATCCTCACACTGGAGGTCGTCAGAGCAATTCTGGTGTGATTCTGTACAAAGGCGTCCCAATTTCTGATCAAGCTTCATCGTTCTTCATTCATCCATCAGAGAATTGGGGACAATGTCTCGTACCTCAGCCGCTTACCGAGAACAATTTCTCCAGCTGGGAACAATCGATGATTCTTGTTATCGATGGCAAGAACAAATTAGGGTTCTTGAATGACAAAATCCCGCAGCCAACTGATGATTCTCCTCTCTTCGAGTCTTGGAATCGCAACAACAAACTGCTCCTTAGCTGGATTCAGAGATCTGTCAATCCTACCATCACCGAGAGCATTCTGTATGTCACCACCGCCATTGGTGCTTGGTCTGAGCTACGCGAACAATTCTCGCAAGGCGATTCTTTCCGCATTGCTGATCTTCAAGAGGCCATCTTCAACCTCAAGCAAGGTACTATGAGTGTTTCTCAGTACTACTCTAAGCAACGAGCGTTATGGTTGTCATGCCACTTGCTGGCTTGTGTGTGCAAATCATGGTTGTCATGCCGGTGGTATACCACCCGGTTGAATCTGGTTCAACCTGTGCCGGTGGTTCAACCTGTGCCGGTCATGAAACCGGTATGACCCGTATGATCGATTTACGTATTCTAAGTAAAATGACATCATTTTAATGAATTTAATTAATACAAAAATTAATTTATTATTCATTTTATGAATGTAATAGTTAAAAGTTGCTGATATTTGTTAGATTTTAACTCAATTGTCCACAAATATGTTTAAATACATTGGATATTAATTGTTTTCACATTTTTTAAACCGGCATGAACCGGCACAAACTGATTATACCACCGGTCGTACCATTCCACTTGCCAAACCGGCACAACGGTATAAACCGGTTTGACAACCTTGGCGCAAATAAAACCAAGGCTTAACAGATTCTATTTACAAAATTAAGGTGCTCTACTTGCTAGAGGAAAAGGAACAATAATTAGCTTAACGCAAATTGTAGTTGTTTTGTACATTGATCGTGGGATGATAATAAACATGATCATAATAAAACTATATTTCCATAAAAAAATCATCTCTCCAAAGTTCTGGTAGAAATTTGTGACGAAGAAATCAATTTATATTTTATACACATATCTGGGCGGGGGCAAAGGTGAGATCTGGCGTAGCCAGAGTGCTCTGTTTCTAAGCCCCCTACTGGACGAGGAGAAGCGCAGGTTCATCCCCATTCACGCATTTGCTGATGCTGCCCCTATTGCACCACCAACAACATGACTGAGTGCTTCGACAATGTGCATCTATCCAACCCTCCACGCCCTTCGTAGCTTGGGTGACAATGCTGAAACTGGAGATCCACTGAAGTCGACGAGTCACGAATATGATTAGTTCTATCGTTCATTACGTCCAATCGCGCTGCTCTGTATATTGGCGCTGAACTCCTCAATTCATTGAGCAAATCTCTCTCCGTTTCCCGCTTGAAAGCATGTGCCCTGGATAACCAGAGGACGCTATAAATACGCGGGCGATCCTTCCGTATTTATAGTCTCCTTTGGTTTGCGTTCCTTCTGTTCCTTCGGCCAACAAGACAAAGAAACAAGGCTGAAGAGGAACTGAAACAAAGAAAAAAAGAATGTGATGTCCCACCATTGCGTTTGTACTGATTCTTCATGGGTCTGCTTCCTCGTGCATGCGGAAATGGGGAAAAAAAGGCTAAAAAAAAAATATGTTAAAAACTCAGTGGTGTAAGTTTCTCAGAAGAGAGAAGCTTCAAACATGCAGCTGCCGCTATACCACATCGTCTAGTTTTGTAAGTGGGAGATTTGAAAACTTAATATATATAGGGGAGGTGGTGCCGGTCATCCTTGGCAATGCATAGTTGGGCTTGGTAATATACTTGCCACCCAAATTTGCAGCACAGATACTCACTTTTTGAGCATAATTGCCAAACGTCTATCTGTAATGCAAATTGGTGAAAAAGACTGGCAATGAAACTGTTTCTATAGATCAACATCTTATATTCATGCAACCAAGATAACCAACTCTCCATGATGCTTTAAGTCATCAGTCATGATGACTTATTTGTAAGAAATTTGAGGACGTCCTTCAACCCTCTCCTTGATTGCTCAGTTTAGCCATTATAACTCTTTCCCCCGCTCTTTATGTATCTCCACCTCTCCATCGATGGAAACTACTGCTCTGGCCTATACAACATCTTCCAGTTTTGTTGCAAGAGGGGACTCTATGCTCTATCACTGTTCTGTTCTGTTCTGTTCTGTTCTGTTCTGTTGTTGGTCTCTCCTTCCCTCTTTCATCTCATGTGCTTTTCTTTGTTATTTTTACTGTGGAGGCTGCAATTTGCAGTGGGCTGCTGCTATTTGCGGCTCAACTGGAAAGGAATGTGGTCATCTATGACCAAGAATCACTAGTGCAGCAGGCGTCATTGTCTGAGTTGTGTTTATGTTCAGACTGAAAGATAATCCTTGAAAAGTTGTATAATGGAGGAGGCCGTGCATAGTTTTGGAATCTCTCCGGTTCTTGTTACTAGTAAGGTGAAAGATGATGCCAAGATTGAAATGATAATTGCAAAATCGATATTAGGTTTCCCCATCTATTGAAGTCTTCCTGGATTAGGCGATTCTTTCCTGAATTTGCCAATTATGTGGTGCAGTAATGTAAGAAAGCACGCTGCTTCTGATTATGGTTCACAGAATTTTGAAATTTTCTTTGTGTTGTACACATGGTTAAGACTAATGTTTCTGCAAGGAGAGAACTGTTTCAAAGGTTTCCTCATAATGATTTGAATCGGTACCTGACCACACCATTCATTGCCATGTTCGTAGTCTCTCCAGGCTCGACTTTCAGTGACATCAATGATAATACGTTATTGTTTGTGTATAGTGAATAGTGTTCATAGTGAGTCGATGCTTAGCTCGAGTGAAACTGTTGTTATGTTAGTGTTGGTTCTTGATGGTGGCCTAAGGTGACCACATCTCCCCGCATCGAATCCATCATCATTGGCTCTTGAGAGGTGGAAGCCATTGGCTCTTGAGAGGTGGAAAGTGGCTTCGTATGAGTATGATCGATGGTTGCTCTGTCAAACAATGACCGATTTATATCGTTTGAGATCATTAATTTTAGGAATCATGACACAGAAGATGACAATGATAATAACATATGGTGGGACGAACTGCTACAATGTTCGCCACAAGGGAAAGCAGATTCTGTTTAAGCCTCTGTCCCTTGAGGAAGTACGAGAAGATCACCGACAAATGGAGGCAACTCGTCGACGCTCCTAGGGAAAATTCAGTTTCTCAATCAGTTAGATGGAAGCTAAGCTTGATGTTTTTTAGCGTGAAATAAATAGCACGTCATTGTACTTTTTGTATTATGTTGACTTGTGAAAAAGTCAAAAACAGATATCACATGTATTGGTTTTTACTACTATCCTTATAATCATAATTTAGGGTTTTGTACTACTTTCCTTACAATAAGAATTACTAATATATAACGTGATAGATTTTGAAGGCTCTGTGTAGTCTGTAGTGTGACACACTACATATCATCGTCATGTTGATTCTCAATGACTTTATGATCTTTTGGATTTGGTAGAGCGGAATACTTAACAACGACGAAAGGATTGATGAAAATTGATGCCCATAATTGCAACAAGTAACATCTGGTTTCTAACAATTTTGCTATTGTGCTCATACGAAAGCAACGTGGAGTGCACATCGCGTGATTCGATGGTTGTGCAACATTTGAGTACCATAATGGGGTTGGTCCATGAATATCAACAAAAATACGTGCTCACAAGCTCTTTGTTTGGGCGAAATTAAGCAATGAGAGCAAGTGGTCCAAAGTTGAATGAGAAGTAGATTATCTCTAATATCGATATCGATCATTCTAATACCAAAGGCAACTTAATGCCTGTGGTGTGTCGGCCTTTGGTCGTGCCCTCAGGGCTGGCGACGGTGCAACGCCACTAATCATCGGTTATTGCCAAATGCTCTGCTTTTCTAATTTAGAATGAAATATCATATTTAAATGATTCAAATATCATAATGACTTCCATGAAAGTGCTCTCCCTCTTCTCTCGATTAGTAAATGGAAGCATGTACAAATACAATGCATTGATCTCAATAAAAGTGATGATGATAATGCAACGAGAATCCGATTACTAATCAAGTTTCACCAGGTAACCACAGTTCCCCACATCGAATCCATCAACATCGATTCCTGAGAAGTGGAAGTGGCTTTGTATGACTATGATCGACGGTTGCTCTGTCAAACGATGAGCGATTTTAAATCGTTTGAGACCTCCAATTTTAGGAATCATAAAACAAAAGATGACAATCGGGGTTGTGTACGGTTATCGGAAGAGAGAGCTTCAAATGAGCACCTATTGCTATACCACATCGTCTAGTTTTCTTAGTGGGAGCTTTGAAAATGTACTATATACAGGGAAGGTTGAGTTTGGCTTGGTGTTTTTCAGTAAACAAACTTGCGACATATCAAGGTTGAGTTGGGTTCGATAACATTCGCAACCATCACTTAGCGCCATTCACATTATTGACGCAGGCGAAAATGTGAACGACGCAGGTTGTGGCTGCAAATGTCACCAAGCTCAGCTGTAATTTTACTAGATGCTCGAACAATACGGCAGATATCATTGTGAGAGAGCTTTCAGTGACAATGGAGGTTTGCATGTTCATAATGATCCATACAGGTAAAGATTCAATATGATCTGTTCAGTACTCCAAACCCTACCCTGCAATCTGCTGCTCTACTTCTGTTCTTCGTATAAAGCCTTGTTTCGAGAATAATTCAAAGGACTATCACATAAAACAATTCAAAGCAATACCTGAATAGAAGTCTCCTTCTGAATCTCCCAACCACTAGTTCTTCTAAACAACAGACCCATAGTTAAGAGGACAGATTTTCCCGGAGTGCACTGCACACATCATCTTCCCCTGGCAGCAGCAGTGTACGAGCGAGCGGGCCACTTTTTTTTATCAGTCACGCTCACTAATGGCAGTCAAGTGTTCATCTATTTCCTCGGTAGACAAAACCCTGAATACTGGATTCTCTGCTCTCACCACTCCTACCTGGCCAATGCCAACACAGGTTAGAAAGAAAAGAAAAAAAAAAAAAAGGGGCAAAGACCTTTACCCCCATGACAAAATCATATCACCAAAGCAACTTGACATAGGGTTACAAATGCTCAAAGAATTTGTCAGACATTTAAAATATGTCAAAAGTAGCTCCATACCTCAATCTCAGTGGCCTTAAAGTCCTCTTGCAGAACAGATTGCAGAGCAGAAATGGCAGTCTGAGAACAACAGCAGGCAGTGATGATATCAGGGGCGTACAATAAAAGGCACAGGGCAGTGTCACAGAAGACATTGGACAAAAAAAAAAAAAGTGAAAACAATACAAGTAACAGCAAGCAAAAGGAAGCTCTTTATGGACTCTTCTCAAATACGAGGACAAACCTGCACTGTTTCATCGTAGGAGAATGCAGGATCATTTTTCATTTTCTTCTCCAGAAAATTGATAGCCTCTTGTTCTTTCAACCCAGCACTTGTGGCCTGAAACATATCGTCAATTTAAGGCCACTAAGTAAAATGTAATCATCAAAGCATGGAACTTCCAATAAATCACAAACACAAATGTTAGTGATTTTCTTTTCACCTATGACCCAATTTCATTCTTAATGAATCTTAATTGCATCAGCTTTAGTTTACGCATTAATGTATGATGATGTTTGCTGCACGTTGTGGACCTTGGATGCGTTTATGTTTTAGATCTACCCCATAATGAAAAGGTTCAACTTCTTGGGGTTACATAACTTATAATCGAGTGAACATCAATACATACAACAAGTTAAGGACAAAAGAAACTGAAATGAAAGGTTACCTTGTGTCCATAAAAGTGTCCAGCTGGGTCACATTTATAAAGTTGAGCCCCCTTCTCATCATCAATGCCCAAAACCATAGCAACTTCATACAAAGAGAGAGAGAGAAAGGGGTAAGATAAACTGCTAACAGACAATTAAGAAGCACATTATCTGTAGGTGGACAAAACATCAATCCAACCATCTTCAGTACCACATGAAACTCCAATAACTGAAGCTTCTATCTTTTTAACACATGCATAGATACTAAAAGAGTAACTTCCAGAGCAAGTGGCAATGATCATCATACCTACTCCAAGCGGCCTCATGTAGGCATGTTGTGTATAAACCTGTGACTTATCTGCTATCCTGTGGATGTAAAAAAGGTAGAAAGACAACATGAGACAAAAGTAACAGGAACAAAAGGAAGAAAAAGTAGAAGTCCCCTATCCTAGGAGGACCACGAAAAACGGTTCAGGGGTTAAACACAATGGAGAGAATGCCATCTGCAATGCATAGGAAGCTAAACGCAGTAGTAGGCGAAGGATACAAGCTTGTTTGAATGGCAATGCTAATGAACCCTCATCTGGAGTTGAATTACAGAAAACACACATTACCGGAGTATTGACTGGGAAAGCTATTAAAGTTATAGAGAAGAATGCGAAGTCCCTTACCATTTTGACAATACATCTACTGGCATTTCATAGCCAAATCTGAACCGGAACTCAGCAGCTTCATTTCTGGCTTGTTGGACCAATGTCCTTGCATCAGCTGGAAATTTTTAGGAAGCCCTCATCAATTTCAGACTGACAAATATTGTATGACATAAGGAAGGAGAACTAAGTAAAATGACCTCTTCGGCAATCCTAAGCAACAATGCATGTACATGGCCCGAATCCAAATTTCTAAGAATCTGAATCTGTTACTTTTAGGCTAACTTCAGTACCATGCACTGTTGGATCAGGACCCAACCTTGTAAATGGTGTTAACTAGTACATGAATGATGAATCAAAATTTCACTAATAAAACGCACAACAGCACAGATGAAGAGCTGTTGGATCGTTTCAGAAGTTAAGTCAACTTCACAAATTAAAAGCTCCATTTCTCTAGGGCAGAAGGGTACTTATCAAACAGAGCTAATTATTACATATAGTAGCCAATAACACCATAAGGATTATAGCAACAAGTAACCTTCATGACAGAATTAAGCAATTTATACGGATAATTATTTCAAGCACAAACAAAATCTAAAAACCCACAAATAGTTCTACTATCTCCATTCAAAGTAAACAGAAACCCATCCAACCAGTTCTTGTCTTAGAAATCATCAGTCATTCTTATTGATAAATAAACAAGGCACCTCTAAGGCTCTAACACATTTCAGTCATATATGCTGAAAAGCAAACCTACTCAATGAATTACCAAAGGAGAGACCAATGTAGAACATTGAATAAGAGGAAATCAAACCTGTCATGCCCGTAGCCAGCAACCCAAGGTACTTAGTGATAGGGAAAAGATGGGTGACACTAGTCTGATCCAGAAGCTTATCCTGGTCATTAGGCGGGAAAATCAATACATTACCTTCCAAAATTTGGGGGAAAACTGAAACCCTAAAAACAAAAAAGAGAAATATAGCAAACTCAGAAATCTGAATCAAGTGACTCACCGGAACCTTCTTCTGGGTGACAACGCAAACGGAGTCCTTTCCACGGACGCCGATCGAGGTAACAGCAGCCGCCTTCACTGCCTTGAAAGCGTACTCTACAACAAAGCAAGGGCAGCAAAGCATTAAAAGTGGCAATGCTTGTTGCTTACCGGCTGTTTTCCGATGTCTACAGAAGATCAGAGGCAGAAGGATTTTTTTTTTTACGGCGAGACAAAGGAGCGAGGAGAAGTGTGAATCGAGACATTACCGACTTGGAAGAGGCGACCTTCCGGCGAGAAGATCGTGATGTGGCGATCGTAGCCGCCTCCGCTTCCTCTGCTCATTATGAGAGTAACAGTCGGGGTCGGAGAAGGGTTGATTGATTCCGGCGAGTTGAGGGAGAGAAAGAGACTGAATTAAGAAGAGAACGGAAGGAATTGAGGAAGAAGAGGATTTGAAGAAGAAAGATTGGGGAAGAAGAAAGAGAAGAGACTACGAGAGTGGAGCAGAGGGAAATAGATTTGGGGAAAAGTAAGCGTCAATTACTAACTAGTCCCTAAGATACATTTTCTTGCAACTAAGTCCATTACCATTTATTTACTTCCTAGTTCCTATCGATATTGTGAGAAATATTTGGGGTTTTCTGCTGGTTTCAATCTCGAAGTTAGACGACTTGTAGCATCAACGGATTTTAATTTTGTATCGATAAAGGTGACTTGCTGCACAAGAAATTTGGAATTCAGATTTCCCGTTCATCTGGGCGAAGTTGTTGCTGAGTAATGCGAACAAATCCTCGATTATGATATGACAATCATATCGGAGTAGGGTATATTGTACTAAAATCGTGATTGAATTGTGGTTCCACCATTAGAATTGCTTGCCGTTTGAGGTTCGGTATTCGATATTTCCAGTCCGATCCGCTGATATGGTACGATTTCTAAAACATGACTTTTCAACTCTGTCTAGGACCAACCAAGTCTATGAAATAGACTCTACCAAGCTTTGCAGAGCTTGGTATTTAGATCTACAGCTAGAAACTCAATGGAAAATGTTGAAACAAACAGATTATGATACAATTTACACAAATTTAGAAAGATGGATACACAACAGTTTTCCAGCTGATGAACGACTGAAGCATATTTGCCTTTTGGCTTCAACACAACACAACACAACAAATACAATGGAAAACAAGAGCAGCCATGGTGCCCTCATTGCTTTACTTTTTCCCCCCTACATACAAAGAAATCATCAACATTATTACTTTACAGCTTTTCAGTTGAAGAGTTTGATACGCGTCGTTATAGGTTGCCGGCACAAAGGGCAACTCGTAACCAAGCCTCCGCATTCCTGGCAGGTCTGCATTCCAAAGATAAAAAGAGGAAACATAAGCAAGTTATGAATTGGCATTCACTATTACGAGATCTAATGCAATTGCCTAGAAACAAGCATGCAGATCTAACACAGACGAATGAATACAAGATTTCTAGCAGTTCAAATGTACACATTTCGGTGTCATTATTTGCAGAAGCTCTTCAGTGAGAAATGACCAGTTTTGTATTCTTGTAAATTGTAATGCAGGCAAGGGAGTTCTTGTCACCCTTATTCAAACTCGGGGTGATATGAAGGTTGAGGTCTGAAGCAACGAAGGTAAGTGTTGGTAAAAATGGAAAATAAGTTATGTACTTTTGATGGCTTTTACTAATGGATCAAAGTCTGCCTGTGATACATCTCAGACTTGATGAATAAAGCTACAAGTGGAACTTTACTTACTGTGTGACCGCATCCGAATGCCATGTTCTTTGGGTTCGTCCAGCAAATGGGGCAGACCTTGAAGAATAGGGGGGAAAAAAACAAGTGTTACTATCCAGAGGGATAATTAAATAAGACCCCTTTACCAGAAAAAAAGAAAAAACATTCCACGAAGCCGCATAAGCATACCGGTTCAACTGGAGCTGCTGTTGCTCCTGTTGTTGCAGAATTGATCAAAGGCGGTATTGATCTAATTGCATCATCATGATCAATCACTGCCTTGGGAGGTGGAAGAGGCTTTGTACGCGGATGACCCGTTGTTGATCTAGTAGATAATGAATGAGTTAAACCTTTTCAGATCTCAAATTCTAGGAACTACGAAGTGAAATATTATGTTGAGGTCGTAAACCTACCCAGAAACATCAAGGCTTTGTGTGGCTCTGTATTGGAGAGGGATTTCCATGAGGGCAGCAAGAGCAAAGTCGGCTTCCTTTTTTGATGTATCCTTCTTCTCCGACATGATTTTTGTGAAGTTGACAAACTAGAGGAAGGAAAAAGCAGAAGCTTGTTGGCCTTTGTTGGGATTCAAAGTAACAGTAGTGGTACTGTGATAGTAACTAAACTATATGCCAAACGTTTAGTGAACTATGGAGAAATGGTCAGTAAAATAGCATCACAAGATACTAAGCAAACTAAGGGATGTATATTTGAGAAAGTACGTACCTGGAAGTTGTCAAATGCTCTATGTGGAATGTTATCATCAAACTGTTTCATCGCATCCCATGGCCCATCCCCGACTCCAACTAAAACAATTGAGAGAGGATAATAGCTGTTGCATGGAAAACCAGTAAGAGCCACATAGTTGAAACATTCATTCGATGTCGAACAGTCCATTACCTGGCAGCAACTATGGAATTCAAGGTTGCTTGTTCTTGAGGACTACAACTCCCGCGTGGAATACCAGGATTCCTGGTAACCTGTATACATAGGTTTGTGTTTTTAGCATCAGATGGCTTGTGAGAAGGAAGACAGTGCCACAAATCATAAACAAAAAGAAAGTCCAGAGATTCATTTTTGCATGTCAATGCCTACATTCTAGTTCTAGATAGAAAATCTTTAAGGTCAATTGTCCAATGCCATTCAAATTTATCTGACATTAAGCTCCATTATTTGTTAGTTTGAAGAGAACAAGCATATTAGATATGCGGCAGTACTTGAGATATGACAGCTTTCATACGAAGATACAGCTGAAAGAAAACTCTGATGTTAGGAACATGGAAACAAATGAAATACCTGCCCATCTGCAATAATAACAAGGACGTGATATTGACCATTACTTTTCTCTACAATGTCAATTGCAGCATCAATGATTGGTGCAAATGAAGTTGGACCTGGAGATATCAGAATGAAAAAAGATCATTGGTATGTTGCTGAACAAAATCTGGCTTTCAATTCAAACACTATACAACATATAGAGAGAGATTAAAAGAACCTGACAACTGTAAGTGTGGAATGATTTCTCTGTATCGAGCAAGTGCCTCTTCGAAACCACGACAAGGGCGGTGATCAGGATAAAAACTGAACACGTATTCATCACGTGTTGATACTAGTAAGAGTGGGGAAGACACAGGAATGACAATAAGGAAGATATCAGATCCAATCGTTCACTTAATGTAAAACAACAGTAAGGGAATTTGCACAAGGAGACTAACCATCACCAAATCCGAAACAAGGTATCAAATTATCTTCATCGAAAGGCGACAAAGTACGCCCGATGATTGAGATTGCTTGTTCATAAGGATTCGTCACACTACCAACTGCGTGGAGACTTTTGCGGTGAAATGAATACCTGCCTATACACATTGAAATGAACTTTTACCCTACGTGCTGACTTTAGGAGGTCTAAACATCGTATTAATACCTGAGAAAGAGAATCACTACCTGACCATTCGTTACTCTTCGTGAAGTCAACACCAAGGATCAAGTTCGATGACTCGAGACCAGCTTCTCTCAACGCAGAAATGACCTGAAACACGTAAAGCCAACTGAGTACCTCAACAGTATTTCGTAAGTGTGAGAATAATATATCTTCGGTTTTAATTTTTTCTTAAACAGCTTTCAGATAAACAAAAAAGTACCTACCTGGTCTAGCGAGTTGAAATTGTCAGCGATGAACTTCGGTCGCTGCAAATGTCTGAAGCTATTATGCTCCATCTGATCATCTACCTTCCTGCCCGAGAAATCAAGATGTCACCATCATATTAAATTCCATTGTAAGACCAAATTCTAAGCAGAACTTAACTACCCAATTTAGTAATTCACCAACCAAATCAGGATATTCCCCCCCAAAAACCAACTTAATTTCACAGTAACTATAGTTCAGCGTAAAAGCTAAGCTGGGTAATTGTCCATCTAAAGAACAGGCCAAATTTACATCCCTTCTTTCATTCCAAGCCATCAACTACAAAATTGTTTCATGTCTGCAAACAACCCAAGAAGAGAAGCAGCATATACACAATACCATGCAATCGGATGACTATTTCGAGCTCTACCCTTTTGTTTGCTTCGTCTATGGCAGCAGAGTTGAAAACAGAGAGAAATATGTTACCAGCAGCAGTAAGCAATTCAGGAGGAGAAAGCTTCCGATGAAGAGGGGGGACCGATTGCTGCGACGGGTTCCTGGGAAATTCAATCTGGGTTTGATGCAAAAATTGGAGCTTTTGCTCTTCTTCTTCTTTCCCTGCGTGGCTTCTCCTCTTCTTCTGGCGTGTTGACCAAATTCTGGGAAAAGATGGCTGCTTTTGCAAGTCCAGCTTCTTTCCTTTTTGCGAGTGTTTGAAAACGGTCTAAACAGTTTTTAGTTTTGGATTAGTACAGATAAGTCCCTTATTTAAGTTCTTTTTGTCATTTTAGTACTTATAGAATTTTCTTTTAACATTTCAGTTTCCTCAGAGAGCAAACGTATATATGAATCCAAGGTTCAGAGTATAGGAGGTCCCATTAGACTTTGATTTGTTCATGGATCACTCCATCAGGCGATGAGAAGTTCATTCGACAAGAGTTCGACAAAAATGTATGGTTTCTATGACGAATTCGAACGAAATACAAAGGTATTGGGAGTGGTTCTTGCGAGACAATTACTAGATTGAAGAAGACAATGTGTGTTTGATGAATAATTATTGTTACTAAGTACAAGGTTTATGATAGAATGCCAATCTTACTATCGGAAACTATCGAAACAGAATCGATAGAATTAGAGATTGAGATTAGGAGAACAGAATGAGAAGATTTGCATCCTTGCATCACTCATAGGCACATACAAAACACATAAATTGGAACTTCAAGGGGTGCTCCTCTCCATGTCCTCTTCATGCTACAGTCTAACCAGAGCAGGCTTGTAGTCGATCACAACAACCTTGTCGAGCTGAGGGAGGAACAGGTCTGCAAACTCAGCGTGAGCAGGGTGAGCCATGTACTCTGCAACACCTTCCGAGCTCTCGAATTCGGACTCGAATATGTGCGTGAACCCTTCATCCATGTTGCACACTCCCACGTCCGTTCCCCTGTTCATCAACAAACATCAGAAAACTTAACAAGTGATCGATCCACCAAGAAAGAAAGCAATGGAAGAAGAACCGTATATGATGTTTTTACCAGTGGAAGGCTTTCATGGGTGGGATGAGGCTGACGAGATTGGCATAGCCTTTGATGAGTTCTTCGATTTCGTGAGGTTGGAGGTCTTGTTTGAATTTGGCTATCAGTACGTGCTTCACTAATCCTCCACTACTACCTTCCTCCATGGCTCTGTTTTATTTTTTTTCTCCTCCTGCTATGCTAATGCTAACACTCCTCCCTCTTCCTATATATATAGAAGTTAGAACCACTTTGTACTAAGGCTATGTGGATGATAAAGAGGATATGTAGTATGTGATAAACGTGCACCAAACTCACCCACCAGGCCACCACTCATCTACCTCTTACCAACTTTTTAAACCCTTGTGCTCTTTTGAATGGAATATTGGTAATTCAATGATAATAAACGAAAGCCACTTACAAGGGCTTGAAGTTTGCACAGGTCTGAAGACAAGAATACCACGTGCTTAACAAATGGGGGTCGCCGGGAATCGAACACAAGACCTCTCGATCACAGAAGGCTCTGATCTCATGTCAAGAACAAGTTGATCCCAATAACTCGAGTTGTTGGAAGAGGTTCAATCGTGGATCATATATATACCACAATACTAACAGTTAGCTCAAGCTACAATTCAAGTACCATACATGAAATTAAATAGGGACGGAAAGTACTCCTGTATATAAGTGTCCACCTAACTCAATTGGTATGAAACATCTTGGAAAGAAATCCAATAACAAATCTGTGCGACCTTGACTCTCAAAGCGCGGACAATATCATCATTCCAATGAGCTACAGGGTCACCATATTTTTCTCTCCCCAAGCCAAGCAGCTCACAATGATTTAGCAACTTCTTATACATTCTTGAATCGAAGTGCCACATGAAAGAAAAGACCAAAGAAAGAAGTCCCCTTCATGGACATGTGTTTTCCCCACGCATAGGATCGAAATAACATTCTTCAATACTTGGTCCTGATAGTCTAGCTTGTACTTGGTCCTGTTCATGGAGTAATACTCAGGATCCGACAGCAAGTCCTGCATTGCAGTTTTTCCTTCCAGCATGCTCACGACCTGAGACATGGTCGGCCTCAGAGTTGGCGCACAAGAGAGCCACGTTCAGTATCAGCATCGCCTCCTCCGACGAGTAATCTGAACCCAGCTCGGAATCGACCAGAACCAGCAGTAACTTAGGGGTCGTTTGAAAGTTGCGATTGTTTTGTTGAGACTGTCATTATGTTTCTGTGATGTGACAATGCATGGATTGTTTTTTTGTTTTTTAGCAGAAACAATACATGAATTGTTTCTGTGATGTGACAGAAACTATCACTCATTTTGAGTTATTGTTATATCTCCACTTTTCGTTGTGATTGTTGAGATAGTTGAGTTGAGATTGTTTTGTCTAAGCTTTTAGCTGATGCGACATACACAATCACACATACCAAACGTTGTATTCTACAATGCATCAAATTCAACAATACATGTATAATATTATACATGCATTCTCAATAATACATCTATTTAACAATCGCAACTTCCAAACAACCCCTTAAATACTAGTCCCTTCTTGATTAATAAAGTGTATTCTCCTCCCTTTTAATTCGGTTTGCAAAAAATTTTAATAATGAAATCATAGTAATTGTGGTCCAATATGAAAATTCATTTTGATACATTTTTAGGACAATACCTTCTTTATGCATGTTGTATTATGTTAGGACTAGATAACTGTACCATATTGTTGATACTATGTTAGGACTAGATAACTGTACCATATTGTTGATACGATGACAATGGGTCTACATACAGGGTAATTTGATTCAATTATCATGACTCATGAGTATTGTATCGGATCTAAATGAATAAATACTAGTCCCTTCTTGATTAATAAAGTGTATTCTCCTCCCTTTTAATTCGGTTTGCAAAAAATTTTAACAATGAAATCATAGTAATTGTGGTCCAATATGAAAATTCATTTTGATACATTTTTAGGACAATACCTTCTTTATGCATGTTGTATTATGTTAGGACTAGATAACTGTACCATATTGTTGATACGATGACAATGGGTCTACATACAGGGTAATTTGATTCAATTATCATGACTCATGAGTATTGGATCGGATCTAAATGAATTCATATGCACTCTTAATAGTTTTGGGTTGGATACTATTTGGTTCAATTTATTTGGGTCTAAATAACTGTATACACAACAAACAATTCCCAACATTTTATTAACTATCTTCAAACCAATTATACACCTTTAATGCATGTGTTTCCACATTTCTATTCGTTTCAAAAAAATTAAGACAATAATTGTATTATAATCGAGTAGCCAATTTCTTTTCTGACTTCCAATACTATGAGTTTAATGGAGACCCAAATGAAAAAAATTTGGGTTGAGTGTGGCCCAAAAAAATGGGGTAAGGGAGTTTGAGCCTTTGAGGTAGGTTTTTTTTCTTTCTCTCTGACTATTCTCTCTTTTAACATCTTTCGGACTTCGACAAATTAAGACGAGTGTTAAATGTCAAGAAGAAAATTATAAGTTTGAAAGTTCTTCAGATCCCGTACCATAACCATGTAGAAATTTGCACGGCTCCTGTCCTGTGACAGTACTGCCACCGTCAACCATGACAGTTCACTATGCTAACTACCCGGCGGCCCTGTTGTGAGACTTGTCTCGTTGACGGCCATGGAAATGAATTATTATTATGATAGACTAGAGAGATCCGTCGTCGATCACGATTAGCAGCTCGGGGAGAGTGAGTGAGTATGCCATTAAGCTGCCTCATAAATTCATATACATTTCAACAACTAGTGATTTGATATTTCTCTATTAGTAGAATTTAAAAGTTTAGGTGCCGAGGCAAAACATATAAAGGTACCAAAACATAATTTTACCACCAAAATTTATGTACAGTACTGAATTGTAAGTAAAAATAAATTTTAAAATAAAAAAAAAATCTAAGATCTAAATACCAACATTATGAATGAGTATCCAATTTGAATTACACGTATTTCAAATACACTTGTATTTCAAATACATAATATTAAAATACACACCCATAATCAACAATGTTGTTAATGATTTTCTTTTAAATAATTTGTAGATTTTAAAGTGACTAGGGTCTAGGAGTGCTGATTTGAATTTGATAAAATGCAAGAAAAAGAATCCACTTTGACTAAAAAATTAAATGGGAAGAGGTGGGGGTATGATAAACAAGCTGCCCAGCAAATATAGAGGTCGTCCTCATTGCAGTTCTCCAGTTCAGAAGAAGTAAAGAGTTTAGCTGGTTACATAAACAAACTTCAAGTTTCGACCAGAGCAGTGCACAAACACGAGGGCAGGAGCATGCACAAGTACTAGTTTGTCAAGCAAATTTGCATTGATATCATTGACTAGAAACTACAATTACAGAAACCGGCATCAACATCTCAAGCCTCAAGCCTCAGTTGTAGACCATGTACTTAGGCGTGGCACTGAACTTCTGATATCCTTTGATGACCTTGTTGACGGCATCGAGGAAGTCCTTCTCCGTCACCGTCTTCCTGCGTGCTCTAATAGCATACATCCCGGCTTCAGTACAGACGCTCCTGATGTCGGCTCCTGCAAGACAAATCATGTAGGATTAGAGTTATTGAACTCTCAGCTCACACCAAGTATATACAACAAATAAAAAAAAAAACCCCACACATGACATACCAGTTGAATTTGGGCAAAGGCGTGCAAGGAGTTCAAAGCGAATGTCTCTTTCACAGTTCATTGTCCTTGTGTGGATCTTGAAAATCTGAGTTCTGCTCTCCAGATCTGGCAGTCCAAACTCAACCTTACGATCTAGTCTTCCAGGACGTAGAAGTGCCGGGTCCAAGGTATCAGGTCTGCAGATTAACATAACATCAGGGTATTGTCCAGGATAAACTTCAACTCAAAAGGGATGAGCACATTTTTGTACAGCAAGTTTGCACACAGCAAACACAACAATCTCAATCGCATACAGAGCTAGATTTGTGCAAACTAGACAAATCATATAGGATAAAAATTTCTGTTGAAAAAGGAAAAAGATAGGGTAGATAGGAATTAAAATAGCTTCTGTTTTGAGGTAGCATGAAATTGAACTCATACCTGTTTGTTGCCATCAGCACTTTGATATTTCCACGGGCGTCAAATCCATCAAGCTGGTTAACAATTTCAAGCATTGTGCGTTGGACTTCATTATCTCCACCCACACCGTCATCAAAACGTGCACCACCAATTGCATCAACCTCATCAAAGAAAACTATGCAAGCCTTTTTTGACCGAGCCATCTACAACAAACAAACAGCTCATTCAGCAAGAAAGAATATTCACTACAAGACTTCAAAGGATCGAAATACAGACATAATGAGAAAGAGTGGCCGGTTCTAACCTGAAAAAGCTCACGAACCATGCGAGCTCCTTCACCAACATATTTCTGAACGAGTTCACTGCCAATCACACGGATGAAACATGCATCTGTTCGGTTGGCCACAGCTCTAGCCAACAAGGTTTTCCCAGTTCCAGGAGGACCATAACATAGAACACCCTTGGGAGGATCAATTCCAAGTTTCACAAATTTCTCAGGGTGAAGCATTGGTAGTTCAACAACCTACAGAGTTAAAAATTAAAAGAATAAGGCTTATGCATCTAACATTTTGGGAGTGTAAAACAACAGACATCTAGTTTTAGTGAACTCACTTCTCTCATCTTTTCTATTTGCTCTTTACAACCTCCGACATCATTGTATGTGACATCGGGTTTTTCTTCCACAGTCATCATTGTGACACTTGGATCAATTTTTGGTGGCAATGGAATCTGGATCTGATACTTGGTACGATCAACCCTGCATGTACATCTCTCCATTGTCAACGATATACATAATTTACATTTAGAAAATGTTCACATAGTAATCTCACAAAACTGAGGAACTTACCCCACTCTCATCCCCTCTTCAATATCTGTAGGGGAGACCTTGTCACCGAGCCCAACAACAAACTGAAAGTCATCCAAAGAGATGGTTACTTTAATAAGAAACAATGAAATTGTTAAGTGAAAGTAGTTAGCTTTGAGCAAGTCAGGTAAGCCATTGGTTCGCAATTGCCCCATAAGTTAAGTGTCACAGCAACAATGCTGACGGACAAAATACCTTAGCAATTTGTTTGACATTTATAACATATTTTGCGTCCTCTGTATTGGGATTTATAATCTTGGTGCACCTGGCAACCTGTAACAGAGGAAAAAACAGCAACTTGTAAGTAATTTAACATGAAAGGACCATCACAGTCTGCTTATACCTAAATACAAGGAAGCAAGAGTGATTACTTGAAGAGGTTGCTCCTCCTGCATCATCTGCTTGTCAGAGACCAGATCCCATTGGCTTGGTGTAGCCAAACCAGTGTCCGATTCCTTGATACCTATGAGTACACCACACAGGCCAATTTTACTTTTCAGAAGCCAACATGTTGAATGACACAAGAAGCCAACTTCGAAGGGAGAAAGTACCAAAAAGCAAACACGGCCGAGTAGGTTCACCCATTAATAAAATTATACAAGTAGCCCCACAATTTCATTCATGAGACTGTGAATGTTGGCATTGCAATTTGCAAAAGATAAAAACTTTCCCTCGCATAATCATATCGGCTACGGCAGCAGCAACGGAAGACGAGACACAACAAGGTGTCAGCTGCCGCACCAGTTAAAGACTTTCAAGATACTAATTCGACTTCTTAACCGGAAAATCCCAACCCCATAGAAGCAAATAGAGCAAAACCATGGTTGAAGAATTAGGTCAGACCGCAAGTAATGCTTACCACACAGATCGTTGATCTTCTTGGCCAAGTCCTTGATCTCCTTCTCCTCCTTCTTGATGCTGTTGGAATAGGGCCCTAAACCCTGCAATTTGCAACCCAAATAAAAAATAAAAAATAAAAAAAATCAGAACTCGAATGAACAGCTAGGTCAAGAAGCAGCAGCGAGATTAATCAGATCCCAAATCGAGCTCGGCGGAATTCTAATTACGTATGTCTTGAGAAGGGCGATGTCGTCTTCATCCAAAGGCGGTGGATTCTTCTCGTCTTTGGTAGCATCGTATTCTTCTGCTGCGGACGGCGGCGCCATTGAAATCGCAAGAGGGCTTCTGAAAGGGCGTGAGGAAAAATTGATGAACACGAAAGAGATCGGAGACGGAGAAAAACGATTTAGTAGTCGGGGTCCATTATATATACTGGTCCATGAATCCGTCCTTCCTGCGGGCTAAAAGAATTTGGTTGCTCGTTAAGCCCATTATACTTTTGTTTGCTGAAAATTTTGTCAGGCCCACTAATGGATTGTCGAGACAGGAAAAACAAAATGAATTTGGCAGGCCCACTAATGAGTTCCTTTTTGCTTCTGTAATTTTAAGTTGTATTAATTATGGGGATATATATGACTATAGATAAGGTGTTCTGTTCTGTAAACGCATATACGAGGTTTGTACCTGATATTCTCCCCTAATCATACGGCAAAAGCAATTATAGATTTATTATTTTATTATAATTGCATGCTAATATGAAGCTCGCCAACAAACGATAAAGTGTATAACCTATAGTCATCCATTTGTGCATAATCGAACAATTTCCTTGATTTTTGGGCGGAGATTGGAGACAAAAATCATGATTGAGAATAAATGTTCTTTTTCAATTCTCTACTTTTTAATTGACTCGTGTCTCTTCTATACCTTGAATTTTTAAAGATTTTGTACATATAGATATGCTTAATTATTGTAATGAGCTACAAAATCATATATACATTCGGTATAATTTGAGAGAAATTTTTAGACCAATTATACGATCGTCTACCTCATCATACCACTTCCTACTATCATTCTATCAAATTATCATCTTCTGTACCATTATGGTATAATGTGATAATAATTTCTCGACTAATATTTTTCCCCCGGAATATATCAAACCAAATTTTATGTATATCATGTTAAATTCTTAACACTTCCTCCCACCATAATATAATCTTCACCACCACCACCATTACATATCATAGTATATTGTGGTGAAACAATATTTCAACTAATAAAAACGATTTAGTATACCAAAGTAGATGTTACCATGTAGTTCATAATCAATTTTATTTTTTCTCTCTAAAAAATTCAAATTCAAATCCAAAGTGGTATTACTACGAGATTATTGACCGAATCCTCTTGCGAGCTCACCCTAAAAAAAGCAAATCTCTGAAATAAGAAAAGCGGTTAGAGAGGTCAAAGCTGGAATTGAATTTGCCATTTTAAAAAAATTGTGACTACTAAATCATTTTTCCACTACTAAAAATGGCAAACCAGCCCCAACTTCGTCGTTGTACGCAATTCCTCTACGAACAAACTTCCATATTTTCCATCTATAAAAAAAAAATCGAAGAAACAAAGAAAAGCATTCATCGAAGCAACAATAACTCATCCATCTCACTCACCCTAAACCAAAAGAAAAACAAAACAACGAAATAAGGAAAAATGGCAGGGAAGTGGAGCAGAGTGTGGCTGAGCATGGCGGTGGTGGCGCTGCTGGTGGTGGCGGCGGCGGCGGCGCACGACGAGGATTTCGACGACAGCAAACTCGACGTGGTTTCGAGGTTGGACGGCGATTTCGGATCGGCTACGTTGGATGACGTCATCCCTTCCGAAGTCCTCACCCGGCGTAGCGGCGGCGGGTTTTCCTCCTCCCCGACCTCCGCTCCGGCCTCCGCCCCCACCGACGGCGGCGATGTGAGCGGCGACGCAGCCTCCCCTTCTACTTCCTGAATAATAAGTTAAAATGAATTTTAAATTCGGCCCGTTTGTACGCACCGGCGTGGTCGTCAGAAGGAAAAGGGATATGATATGATTGATCCTACTATCTCTACGTATCTGTAATACTTAAATACTAGATTATAACCCGGCCCTTTGGCCGGAATGCTCATATTTAATTATTTGTACTTTTATGTTACTTTTAAGTCTATTAACCCGTTTAATCTTATTGATAATCATTCGATCGAGATGATACATAAAGAAATAATATATAGGTCGAAGATTCGGAGAAATATCATAATCATTTAAGAATATAAAATATAAAAATGTATCATTGACCCCATTTTCATAATGCTAATTAAGTCCCTGTTAAAATGCTATTGGTTAGTTTTCTTTGACAGTCAAGAAATATAGAGTATAAAAGCTCACTGAAATTCTCACACAACCCATAGATAGTTTGAAACTAAATCTTAAACCTCACAATCCTATATAAAGGGTTCAATGCTCACCTTTTAGAAACAATATGTCACTAATCAAAAAGAAATGGAGAGTTGTTGATTCAAGTCATCTATATACTAAAAACTCGGCTAAGAGGGGACCATCACAACTTGAGAGCAAACGAAAAAATCAGGGTTGTCTCCAATATACGAATAGACTCGATCAAAGTAATAAGGCGCAAAATTAGACACTCCTTATCTATTAGTTCCAGTAGGTTGAATAAAGAAGCGACCTATTTCAAACAATCAATCAATGATTCCTCGTTTTAAGATAGAAATAGGTTATGACAGTTGCAAAAACCATAAACCTAAAGATCCAATAGCCACCACTCTCCGTTGTACAACCAAATTTCTATCTCAAGAGGCATATATTCAACCAAAAATTCAATTTCTAATCTTCCTTCTACAACTTCAGTTATTGATGAACTCCATTCTATTGGCCATGAATTGATATCAGAGTTGAAATCTTCTACTCGCCCAGCTTAAAATCCCCAACAATAAAACCGTAGTGCCAAGAGATACCTGAAGATTGATTTTCAATGACAGTCTTGTACTGGGAAGTGAAAGGCGCAAACTATTGCACGATGGATGAAATTTCGGAGGAAGTTAGAAAGAGAAAAGAACAAAGATAAAAAAACACAAAATTTAAATTGAAAAATGCAAGGATACAACAGTAGTTACATAATTAGTTTCTTCCATGTTGGCCAATTACCCATTTACCTTTAGCAAAAATTAAGGAGGATTGCGGGAATTTAAAATTGAGAACATTACATGAAACTCTACTATGAAAATAGAAGCATCAAGCTCGATAAAAATAAATACGGTAGACTTAGTGAGCTTGCTAATTATGATGAAAAAGTCCTCTAATTTTCAGAAATTAACTTTGTCTATTTTTTGTATAAAAAAGGATGCAATAAATTTGTTTAGTGTAACTGGTTGTGATTGTTATCTTTGTTTGAAGAGACCCGGGTTCAAATCTTGATATTGCTATTTTTATATGAAATAAATAATAAATGTGTAAAGACAGAAATGCCCTTCCTACTTTCACTCTCGTTGCAGGAAATTTGAAATGGAGAAAAGTACACAAAACTCTATCATATATTAATGGAGGATTATTATTACACGTATTAATAAAATGAAATGTATTGGATAGTGATGTACTTCATTTTAGCGAATTATTATTATGGTTTAGTTAATGTCTTCGGACGATGTTATTTACTTTTTTTTATGATAATTTATATACCGACAATCGGCGAGAATCAATGTTGTTAGAACTGAATCATGGTGCAAATTAATGGAATGACTAATGGGTAGTTCGTATTTTATTGATTAACCGACGTAAAATCTTAAAAAATTGGTACCTGATAACAAAGAAAAAATAAGTTATTCATATAGTTGTCCAAGGAGGAAACGACGAGGACCTAGATGTAAATGTTATTTAGTTCATAGGTGATGTTGTAAAATAAGTATGCTTTAGGAACCGTATAGGTAATTTGTGTTTGATATATATATGTATGTAATGATGTAAAGGATAATGTGACTTTTTCTCTCAATCAATGAAAATCTGCCTGAAGGCTTTTCCTAAACGACATGGTATCAGAGGGTGAATTCCACCTTTCTTGTTTTCTTTGACTATTCAGTCATTTTTTTTCTTTCTCTTTCTCTAGGATTCTTGGAGAAGTGAACAGCTCGTTCGTTTCTCTCTCCTCTGCTTCTACTTCTCGATTGTTCTTCGATCAATTCGATCCAGTTTCCGCTTCCTCTATTCATCGTTCCACTGCGACGATCGTTTCGTTCATTTCTCTGCGATTCGTTCCACTGGGACGATCGTGTTTCTTGATTTCCTTTCAGTCGAGTCCTTCACCATCTCAGATCTAAATCAATGGCGTCCTTCTCCGCAGTCAATGGAGCGTTTTGTCCGCCGTCTTCTGGTGTTGCGTCGGGAGGTGCTCCTTCCAGCGGTGTTCCTCCGGTTACTACTATGGCTGGTGGTTCGGCGTCTATCGGAGCTTCGCTCTCGCCGGCGCATCCCTTCTTTGTGGCCAATGGAGATCTTTCTGCTCAACAACTTGTGACGGTGCTCCTCTCTGGATCCAACTACCACAGCTGGGCGCGGTCGATGCGAATGGGATTGCATGCAAGAAACAAGCTCCCGTTGATCAATTATGGTTCACCGGTCCCGTTGCCAGATGATCCTCTCTGGAGTGCTTGGGATCAAGACAATGTTCTTGTGCTCGGATGAATTCAGCGGTCAGTTACACCTGAAATCGCACAGAGTATTCTGTGGTTCAACACAGCCGTGGAAGCCTGGGAGGACCTTCGAGAGCGTTTCAGTGAAGGCAATGAGATTCGCATTTCGGACATCTATGATGAGATTGCTGCTCTCAAACAAGGTTCGATGTCTATCAGTGCTTATTTTACCAAGTTTCGGGTGTTATAGGAAGAATTCTTGATTCTCAAGCCTCTTCCAGTGTGTACTTGCAACCCTAAGTGTGCTTGTTCTGCTTTATCGATTCCACGAGAATATGTGCGTAGGGATCAGGTTATTAGGTTTTTGAAAGGGCTGAATGAAAATTTTGGTCACATCAAGTCCCAGTTGCTGTTGAATGATCCATTACCTTCCATTAATAAGGTTTTCTCTAGCCTAGCTTAGCATGAACGGCAGTCTGGTATTCCTTCGTCACTCCCTACTGCTCTTGCTGCTCATGGACCTTCAAAGGGACAACACTCTGGTCAGGGCAAGGGTCAGGGGTCTTCTGCTCAAGGTCCTGGTGGGGTTAGAAGCGGCCTTACTGTACTCACTGTGAGGGTTACGGGCACACAGTGGATCGTTGCTACAAGCTTCATGGATATCCTCCTGGATACAAGCACCGACGAGTCAATGCTGCTATGGCTGACTCTGAATCTCCTAATCCGCCTACTGCTGTGGTTGCTGATGATTCTGTGGTCCTCACTAAGGCTTAGTACCAGTCTCTACTGAATCAGACACAGTTCTAGCATGTGCAGCGCTCTTCTGCTACTCCTGTAGCCAATCTGGTCACCTCAGCTCAACAGATTACTCCTACACCAGAAGTTCATCCTCATACTTCAGCTGATTCTGGAGTTGTTCCACAGACTGCTGACTCTGGTTATATTCCACAGCATGTTGGAATCAACATTGTTCCCACAGAAGACACTGGTAAGGCTCTATCCTCTATCAATTCAATTTTAACTTCTTTGGATTGGATAGTAGATAGTGGTGCTACTAATCATGTTGTCTCTGTCTTACATCTATTTCAAACATATAAAACCATAAATAATATGTCTGTGTCTTTACCAAATGGGGTTAAAGTCCAAGTTACACACATAGGGAACATTGAGATTACCCCTAAACTTACTTTATATGATGTTCTGTATATTCCTGCTTTTACATTCAACCTCATATAAGTATCTAAACTAGTCCAGACATCAAATTGTTCATTACAATTTACTGCCAATTCTTGCTTAATCAGGATCTTTCATCCCACGAAACGATTGGTACAGCTAAACAAGAATCTGGCCTATATCATCTCAACATGCCTCTTCCTAAGCCACAACTTTCATCACAACTATCTTCATGTAATGTTTGTTTCAATACTGCTTTCGTTCCTTTCGACATTTAGCACTATAGGCTTGGCCATACTGCCATTCCTTTATCCCATATCTTAGATAAGGATATTAAACCATCTGTCAGTAGTTCCAAAACTCCTTGTACTGTTTGTCCTTTAGGGAAACAAAAGCGGCTTCCTTTTCCCTCTAGTACATCTCATGCTCTTATTCCTTTCTCACTTGTGTTGATGATTTTTCAAGACACACTTGGGTTTATCTACTTAAAACAAAGGGTGAAGCTCGGCAAATCATGTTAGATCTGCCAGCTTTCATTAATACTCAGTTTTCGTCCAAAATTAAACAATAAGAACTGATAATGGCCAAGAATTTAACATTCCATCTTTCTACAGTAAGTTTGGTATTATACATCAAACAACCTGTGTAGCTTCTTCTCAACGAAATGGTCGTGTTGAGTGAAAACACCAACATATATTGGTTGTTGCTCGTGCCCTTATGTTTCAAGCCTCACTACCAATCTCATTCTGGGGGTTTGCCATTTTACATTCTGTTTTTTTTATAAATAGAATGCCATCGCCTATGTTACAAAATCTATCTCCTTATGAATCACTATTTCACACTAAACCTGCATATAGTGATTTCAGGGTTTTTGGGTGTTTAGTTTTTGCATCAACTTTGCAACATAACAGATCCAAATTTGCCCCAAGGGCTGACCCTTGTGTTTTCTTAGGATTCATTAACACTGTTAAAGGGCATAGACTTTATAACTTAGCTTCTCACAACATTTTTTATTCCAGGGAAACTGTATTTCATGAGCATGTCTGTCCTTTTGCCATTTCCAATACCACTCCTGATTTTGATTTCTGCTTTCCTTGTATCCAAATTCAGGAAACAGTAGTCCATAATAATGCATCTGATTCACATTCTCCATTAGTTCATAATTCATCTTTGCCCCATTACCTGAGGAACCCCTAGATCTGGTTGACATCATCCAAGAAGTAGAACCTCCACCATATGCGAGGCCTCCTCGTGTTAAGGTACGTCCTAAAAAGCTAGATGATTACATATGTGCTGTAGAGTGTAATGGGATTACATATCCTTTATCTAAGGTCATGACTTTTGATAATCTAAGCCCAAAATACAAGAAATACATTCTGGCCAGTTTTGCCATTCTAGAACCTAGATCCTACAAAGAAGCTATTAAAGATCCTAGGTGGTCAGAAGCTTGTAATTCTGAGTTGGCTTCCTTAGATAAAACCAACACAGGGACTATTGTAGAATTACCTGATGGGAAGATTGCCATAGGAAACATGTGGGTTTTTAAAGTTAAATTTCTTTCAAATGGTGACATAGA